ATCTGGGTCGCCGGAAGGCCATTCCATTCCTGAACCTGTTGATTCAGCTGACGCATCAAGGCAGGGATCCCAAACTGTTTGCCTTCGAAGATAACCCAATTACGAGATCGCCATATCCGCCATACAACGACAACCACCAACATCAATGACGATGGCTGGTGAAGCAGCGCCAACAACATCTTCAGAAAAAGCGGGAAGGTATGACGAGGCAATCCTTCTCCCAGGTGGGCAAACCCAGAATGATCCCAAAGGGCCCGAGCAACCGGACAATCTAGAAACAAATGTTCCAGAGTCTCCGAAGTTACCCAACATACTGGACAGCGAGGCAGGACATCAACCTTTTCTTCAATCAGGGCTTCCGTAGCAAGCAGAATTCTATGGAAGATCTGCCAGACAAACACGCCATAACTTTAAAGGGAATTACTTTGTTGGATACCTCCTGTATGAGGAAGTTGTGGCAATATTTGAATTTGTTAAGGTTCAAGCTCTCAATTTTCTCAAATTTAGCAACCACAATATAATGTAGCTTCTGCAATATGGTAATTGCACTTTTTTTCTCACCAAATTTATCTATATTTTCCATTTACACTCCCCGTTATGTCCTTTTGTGTGATCTGATATTGAATGAAGAAGTTGTTTCCTCAGGGGAACTAATATTATCCCTTTATCTAGCTTATGTCGTAAGTTTCATTCAGACTTCTACTAATTTTATTTCCCATAACTTATCTTGGATAGTTTGTTTAAACGTTTATTTCTAATTTTACAATGCTTTAAAGCATTGGTGCTTTAGTTTTTTTTTTTGCCTTTATGGTACAACTTTAGCTTGTACCTATACTCTTTTGTAAAATCCTTTTATGGTACAAATTAAAATTGTACATTTAAGTTATGGTACAACTTGAAGAGCTGAAGTTGTACCACAACATAAAGATCAAATTCCCTTATGATACAACTCTAGCTTGTACCTTTAACGTTGTGATACAACTTAAAATTGTACTTAAAAGCATAGTAGAAGTATTCAATATAAAGGTCTGTTTATGGCTTGTTATTTTCTACAGCTGGCCGGTCCCAGTACTTCTTTGGTGGCACACCTTGTACCTTTAACGTTGTGATACAACTTAAAATTGTACTTTAAAGCACCAATACTTTCAAGCATAGTAGAAGTATTCAATATAAAGGTCTGTTTATGGCTTGTTATTTTCAACAGCTGGCAGGTCCCAGTACTTCTTTGGTGGCACACCTGATTCTGAAAAATAATTCCCCCATCATTCCTATTTTTCTCCCATTAGTTTCACACATATACCTCCTCAACACAGACCAACACATATCTTGATGGTTGCTGTGTTAATCTCAATTATCATTCTAAAAATGCAAATTGATAACAACTAATGTTGCGGTTTATATCTGGACATGACTGGACTTAATTGTCATTAGTTAATGTTGGTGGTAGTAAAGTGTAGTTTACCTAAGCCGAACCCTAGAGGTAGTTGGTGAAGGGTTAGGGCTTATGATATATATATTCTCCTTGCATGGTACTGTAGCAGACAAGTTGAGTTTGTGAGTTTGTTAATAAGAGTTCAGCCGAGAAGCTCTTGCGTGGATTAGTTTCGTTCACACCGAACGAGGATACCACGTAAATCGATCGTGTTATTTCATTTTCCGCGTTTTATGTATTTTACATGGTATCAGAGCTATCAAGATCGTAAATATGCTAGTTCATGATGAGCGACGATGAGAAGAAAGAAAGAGACCGCATCTGGCAAGGCATCCATTGAGTCGATGGGTGATTCTTCCAAGCTTGATAGCGATCTCACCTCACCGTATTTCATCAGTCAGTCCGATAATCTAATCAGGTATATGTTGGTGAATTGTTGAACGAGGTTAATTATACTGATTGAATTCATGATATGACCAACGCCTTGCTTGCTAAGAATAAGCTATTTGTTGATGGTACTTTCTCGGCGCCTACCGATCCGCTTGAACTGCGTAGTTGGCGTCGTGTCGATGCCATGGTTAAGGGGTTGCTGACCTCGGCCATGGATAAACAAGTTCGTCGTGTTTCGCGCTATGCTCAAACCGCAAGAGAAGTTTGGATTGATCTGAAGGAGCATTTTGCTCAGAGTAGTGCTTCGTTGGTATATGAGCTCCGTTGTCGTATTAGTCGTCTTCCTCAAGACAAGTTGATTGTCCCTGCGTTCTATACACAATTGCGTAATCTATGGGACGAGGTGCAGTCCATGGCTCCTTTACACCCCTGTAAGTGTGGTCAGTGTTCTTGTGGCGCCGAACGTAAAAATCAGTAGCGTGAAGAAATTTTTTGTCTCTATGATTTCCTGATGGGGTTTGATGAGTCCTTCTCCACCGTTAAGACTCAACTCCTTTCAATGAAGGCACTGCCCACATTATAAGAAGCTTACCAACTTGTTTCGAATGATGCTCATCAGCGTCGTCTTGCGGTTTGTAATCGTCCTAGTCCTGAAGCTGCTGCTTTCCATATTCGTGATGATGTGGCTCGTGGGGAGTCTTCTTCTGATGGTCATGGTCATCATAAGTGTACACATTGTGGGAAGACCGGCCATATCTTGGATCGTTGCTTCGATCTCATTGGCTGGCCTGATCGTCCTCCTACTAAGGATCGTCTGGCGCAGATCAACGATTTCTTGGCTGGGTCTTCGTTCTCACCAGAAGCCTCAACGACCAAGCTTACGAGTTTTTCCTAATGGTTATCAACCTTCTGATCTGCGGGTTGGGATTCCTAATGGGGTCTCGTTTAATGTTGCTCAAGTTGGGTCTGTGTGCATGGGTAACGAGATGGTTGTGCCCCGTGTTTTGTTGGTTCTTGAGTTCAAGTGTAATCTGTTGTCGATCAGTCGGCTCACTAAGGAGTTTCTCATCGCTCTGATCTTCCTTCATGATTTTTGCATTCTACAGGACTTGCGTTGCAAGAAGATGATTGGGATGGGCCAACAACGTGACGGTTTATATTATCTCCGCTTATTTGATGATGTAAGGGAGGCTGTTGTTCATGCCGCGACAGGAGAGGATCGTTCGCCAGCTCTATTGTGGCATGCTCGCTTATGTCATCCCTCCATGGAGAAGTTGTCTTTGTTGCCTTTTATTTCGGGTTCTAAACAGTCTATTCTGGATCGTTGCTCTTCTTGTTTACGAGCTAAACAGACAAGTAGTCCTTTCCCGTCTAGTTCTATTAAGACTTCGCGTCCTTTTGAGTTGATTCATGTTGATATTTGGGGTGGCTATAAAGACCCGTCGTTGAGCGGTGCTCATTATTTTCTTACTCTGGTGGATGATTTTTCGCGTGCTTTGTGGGTGTATCTTCTTCGATATAAGTCGGAAGTTGCTGGCTATTTGATGATGTTTTGTCAACAGGCTAAACGTCAGTATAGTTCCTCTGTTATTCGTATACATGGTATGGAGTTCCAAACTAATGTTCTTAAACAATACTATGAGAGTGAGGGGATTGTGTTACAAACCTCGTGTACTGACACGCCACAACAGAATGGGGTCATTGAGAGGAAGTATCGCCAGTTGTTAGAGACAACAAAAGTTTATACTGCAGTAATTTTTCATGACTAAATAATTATTTTCGTGATTAAATAACTTTGTTTTTCCTGTAGTGGGTGATGATTCTCACAAGTTTATCTTTTGACTCAAGGGACATGACACTCAAATGAAACAAGATACGTGTCATGCGTTGATGGGTGTGTGACTCTCCAAAAGTGTTCGCTTTTCCAAATGAAGAAGGGCAGAAACCATTATTTGTCATGGCGGCCCACTTCCCCTACTTGATAGAGAATTAAGTTCCCGTTGATATTCCACCCATCGATCCCAGCCCCATACAATCCTCCAATATCGTGTCGTCAGGCTGCAGGCTAATGTTGTAGCGCGGGATCGAAGAAAAGATGAGAATAATCTCCAATCGGCCCTTTGATCTAGAGAATAAGAAGTATAGCTAGCAGTAATCCAACCAAGTCGGCGTATGGATTGGGTGCCCTTATCCAAAATGTAATATTCCTCCCCCACGCATTCAAGGCAACACATTCAGTGGACGAACCCTCTATAAATTTGCTAGACTACTGCTTCTCCACAGACACACATGCACTGACTAATTAGGGCGATGGATGCATCGAAACTTTGTTAGCCTTGCTGTCCAACGCATAGTGACTTCCATGGAGAAACAGAAAGTAGAGCTAGAGCCAAGAATGACTTGCCGCCATTTAATTTGCGGCTGCTTATTGTATGCTAGCACCTCAATTAGCTAGCTAGGGCAAAAAGGGGGCTGAAATGGGTCTGTGGGTCTTTCTTGGTTCTTCTTTGCTCTCTATTTTGCTCATGCAAGTCTTCTTGCCTGCTCACCGAGAAGCCTGTCATGAATCAACATCATCCCGTGCTCGCGGTTTGAGTTTTGTTAGGATGATTCAGGTATGTAAAAGTTTTCATCATCTTCGACGCATTATTTCTCTTAATTTATTGTATATATGTATACGAAAACGACTTAGTACTCCAAGAGTATATTAAACCCGCGGTTTGAGTTTTGTGATAATGATTCAGGTGTGCATAAATTTTCATCATATTTTATGTAACTTTCTTCTTAATTAATTGGTGTATGTATGTATATGATAATGATTGCATAATCCTACAATATACTATATACTCAATTTTACGAGGATGTTTCAGGTATGCAAAAGTTTTCATAATCTTCTGCGTACCCTTTCTTCATAATTAATTGATCTATATATGTATATGGTAACAATTGTATACTCCTACAAGTATAATATACTTCTGATATTATAGTTAGATATAGTTCGTTTACGGTTTGATGAATCAAAACCATCGTATAATGTAGATCAAAATGAATGTTATAGTAAGGAAACGACATGACTTAACCGGTGAACCACGCCTGACACAGATGTGGAGAACTCATGGTTCTTTTCTTTGGCCATAGGAGCCTTCAACTTATTGAATGATAAGTCAAACCCAGAATATATTAAACAATACTCATTATTTATTAGTATGACTATCGTCATCATCATCATCACAAGAACGACAAATAATGTATAATAATGAAACACTCATCACTGCAAACTCAACTCAAGCCCAAAAATTTACTATAAACGCGAAAAATTAAAAAAAGACGTACTGGCCGGTGGGACTGTTCCCGGCCGCCGGGAATTAATTAAACCAAAAAAATGACAACAACGGCGCCGCGGCGGCGGCAACGGTGAGAACGGACAGGAAAGCACGAGACGACGAAGAAGGCGGCGGGGGAGGAGACATCATGGCGGTGGGGCCCGCCGCTTCCGGAGCGGGAGCGCAAGCCTCGTCTGGCGCACCACCGGCGGCAGGCGGAGGGATCATGTTGGTGGGGGTCGACGGCGGATTCGTGGTGGGACCGCCGGGGGTGGAGGCTACCGTTATGGCCAGCTTCTGGCCGGCGGCACAGTGCCTGCCGATGGTGCAGATGTAGTAGTGGTCGCCGGCGGTGTCGAGGGTGACGTTCGCCGGGCCGGTCATGATGACGCTGCCGACGGCGTCGGAGGAAGTGCATGCGTCGAATGAGGACCTTTGCACTTGGAGCACGTCGTGGTTGTTGGTGTCGAAGTTGAAAGCTGTTGATTATTTATTGCAACAAAAAAATCACGGTAAGTAACATTTATTTCAACCCTAATATGTAGGAAGAGAAGAGCGTATAAGCTTACTGAGAATGTCACCGACGGCGAAGGTTTTGCCGGTGGCCCAGGTGGCATAAGCCTGCGCGCCGCCCTGGGGAACAGTCCAACCCATGTTGTCGCCGACGACATGCACCGTTTGTGCCGCCGCCGTGTTGACGAGTAAGATGAATATGGCGGCTGCAGCTGCCACCGCTGAGCACGATCCGCCTAGGCCAGACAACCTTGCCATCTTTTCTTACGTTTGTAGAATGAAGTATAGCCTTTTTGCGAGTGCGAACTGCTAAGTAACCAGCTCTGAGAGGATTATGTGATTCTGATTGGTGGTTGTGATGCCATGAGATCGATGAGAGGATGGCTATAAATAGTAGCTAGCTGCTATCACTATAGCGTCCATGGAATGGAAGAATATTGCATGCAAGGAAGGAAGGAAACTTCTCATTTGGGTTGCTAGACTGCTAGGCAGGAAGCTAGAAGGTCGACGGAGGAGGAGAGGAGAGTAGAATTAGTCTCATAGCAACGACGCGGAAAGTCTAATTGAGAACTCATCGGTTTAATGGGGACGGAAGGACTTTCTGTTTTGTGTGTGTGTGTGTGGCAGCAAGTAACTACCGGAGTTCAGCGGAACAATATGTGTGTCAAAACAAATTAATAATAATCATGATTGTATTTATTAGTCGGGACAGGATATGGTGCCCACCTTGTACTACGGGTGGTAACTGTGACAATCAAAGGCAATATAAACACTGAGTTTTATATAATAAATCTCAATTGATGATTAATTGTGTTTTTATATGAGTAAAATACTATAATAGTAGAGAGTGATCTCAATAAATCTCACTAACCATTAACTTTCGTAGGGGAAAAACAAATAATATTGCTCGACTGCTACTATTGGTTAATATGTTGTATAATATTCACTAAAATATTGAGATCCGAATTAAAAATCATTTGTAGTATCAAAGTTGGAAAGCATTAATTTTATGTATAATTGATTAATGTAGTACTAATGAAGGATCTGGTACATTTGCCAAAAAAGTGAAATTCATATGCATAAAGAGCCTCAATCTCTAGCTAAGAATATGTAGTTACTAGTTAGTAAGATTCTTTTCTTTGTGAAGGAATACTTCATTTAAAATGGACAAATGAAAATTCGGTACGAGTAAAAAAAAAAACCTTTGCACGTCAATGTATTAGTCGTATCTGTAAGGAAGTGGTTAAGCACCATACACAGGCCTGTATAAGATCCAGCATAACCTTCTCCCAACAACTCGAGTTATTGGGACCAACTGATTTATGACATGGTATCAGAGCTGGTTGTCCGTGAGGTCACGTGTTCAAGTCCTCACGACCCCCAATATTAACCGTTGTCTTTCAAGCACATGGTATGGCGGGCCTGTGCAAACTTCAAGCCCATGAGTCGGCTTTCGTTTGAGGGGGCGTGTAAGGAAGTGGTTAAGCACCATACACGGGCCTGTATAAGATCCAGCATAACCTTCTCCCAACAAGTATCTACGAGATACAAAGTGAGAAGTACTCAAAGCTTTTTTTTTAATTATCCGGAAACTCAGTCCCACGTATCAAATTCAACGCCAACGGGGCTTTGCTCTCAGTGACCTTGTACCTCCCGAAACACCAACGGGCCTCGCTTGGATTCAAACTTGTGATCTACAACTCCCAAACTTTCACTGTCGCAACAGTTTTACTGTTAGGCTATCTTACCTTTGGTAGCATGAGTTTAAGCTAACTCCGCCTTTACTGATATTAGTGTTGGTGTTAGCAGCTTTGAAAATAATTAATAATAAAATAATTATTCTATTAGAACACGATTTAATTATGAAAGTAATTATTTTCCTAATTAAATGAGAATTATTCTTCAAAAAAGAAGAAATATTTTGGGTTACTGCTCCTATAAATTAATAGAGCACTCCCCAGACCCTCTAAATACAATTCGAAGAGCAGAATTATATGATAGAGTGAGATACATAAAGTTTTGGGTCACACAAAACCATCGATAGAACAATAAATTATAAAGTGATTGTTTTATCCTGAAGGAGGCCGGCTGAGAGTCTATTGTGAAAGAAAAAAAAACAGTACCGCAAATGTATTCAAGAGAAAGATGTAGTCTACGTCTCAGCCAAACTTAGGTAACCCTAATTTCTGTCCGGTTTCTAACAATTAGCCATGCCTTGCGGACTTTGAGGAGCACTCGCCAGACTAGAGTCTTTCCATGGAACTTAATGCATAAGGAGACGAGTAATCAACAAGTTGTGACTTTAGGACTCCAACTTATACTTTGAACATATCAACCACGCTAAGCTGAAATTTAGGTGGGGATTGGGAAACACCAATGCATATATCTTTGTCCTTATATTTCATAGCCTGTGAAGAAAAATGTGAAGTATGAATGTTTCTTCCGCTTACTTTGATTTTTTCTTTTTGGGTGTTTAGTGGTTTTTCCTCTCATTTAGTGTAACTGGTCCTACGGGGCCATAACTTGTGTTCTCCTCCACTTGGGCTGACGACGACTGCCATTAATGTACGGACCACTCCCCCTCTCCTTCCTATTTATGAAAAATACTAATGTTAATTCACTTATCGCGAATTTTTATTATGAACAGTGTAATTGTGCATTACAACTTACAAGTACCGCCCCAAGCAATATGTTTCTACCGTGCTGGATGGTTGGTACAAATGGCCTTCTTCTGGTCTCAATATTTTCTCTCAAATCATACACTAGCAAAAGTTCGTTCGCTATCGTTTCACGAATAAGAAAAATAAATATTTTAAAGAGTAATAGTTTAAATATTGACCCAAAAATGAAAGTAATAGTATTTCATTATTATTCATTCTTTTCATAGGTTTGTTATTTACAATAGCACATAGTCGATGAACTTGCATAAGGTAGAAGGGTCGTCGAAGAGATTATTTATGTTTAAACTTCTCTCATGCACTATTGTTTCAATTTTTATGGCTAGTAGTTGATCATGCCATAATTTTTGTACAATGAAGCAAACTCTCTAGATCTTTTCAAGAAGTATTAAAAAAACAGTTGAGTGTTTAGCTGAAAAACTATCAGAATTACTTTGTAATATAAGAGGTCATGTAAAATGATTAAAAACATTTCTAACATAAAATATGAATACAAATTTTAAAAATAAAAATTATTTAAAATTGACCACTTTAGTATTATTTAATATTAAATAATACTATTTTTCAATTTATTTTTTATAACGATATAAATGAAAGAAAATTATATTTTCTAGAAAAAGAATAATATATATTGAGGACAATTTTTTATTTGCAAATCGGAGCTTCTGCTTTTAAGTTATGAAAATTTATAACTTTTTAAAAATCAAAACTGTAGAGGTGTTTGGCTTGCCTTCACTTTTTGAAACATAAAACTTCTAAAATCCGGGTCAAACATAGTCGTACTCTTTTTTTGTTTTGTGTTTGAGGTAATCGTGGTTCTCCTTTATGAAATTTTGGGACTCATTGCAGGTTTGAGGAGATTCAACTCGCATTGGTCGGGTCAAATCAGGTTGGATGCCATGGATTTGGGTTCAATTGTCTTTCTCAAACAAAAGGAAAATGCGAAATGAAAAATAGTAAAGGTAAAACTTGCTATTGACTCAAAAATCGTCAACACTAGGTTCAACTTGCTTTGACCTGGTTGAACCGAGTTTTGAGCAAATTCACGCCTTACACAACCCGCCAATTACAAAAACAGATAGAACTCGCTCCCGCCGAAAACTTGTAAACATCGGGTTCAAGTCTCTTTGGTCTGGTCGAATTAGGTTGGATACTCATGCATTTGGACTCAATTGTCATTCTCAACCAAAAGGAAAAAGATTAAAAAAATACTAAAGTTGATAAAACTCAGTCATGACCCTAAACTCTCAACACTGCGTTCAAGTAGCTTTGACCGGGTCGACCCAGTCTTAAAAATTCACAATTTATCCAATATGTCAATTATAAAAGCGGATAAAACTCGTTCTCAATAAGACATTCGTCAACAATGAGTCAGAGTTCAATTGTTATTCTCAACCAAACAGAATATGAGAAATAAAAAAAAATTAAAGCGTACAAAACTCGCTTTCGATAAAAAACTAGTCAACAACGTGTAGAACTCGCTTTGACCAATTTTTTTAACAAATTAACACTTGGTTCTACCTGCCAACTACAAAAGCGGATAAAACTCTCCATAATACAACACTCATTAATACCTTAGATTCGGGTTTAATCGTCTTCACAACCAAAAGAAAAAAAGAGAAATTCATAAATAATAAAGAGCATGAAACTCGATCCCGATACAAAACTCGTGGTAGCGACCTTGGGTACAAGTTAGGATACCCTTGTGTTTGGGTTCAATAGATGTAAACCTAGACCTAGTGAACAATAGCTAAACACAAAGGTTATAAAATGGAGAGTGGGGTAAAAGAAGCAACTTGGAACTTCCCCATTTGCACTTGGAGGAGTGTGCGAGTCACTAGTGAATAGTAACCCACAACCTAGGCTTTTATATATTAATTAATATATTAATTTGGGTTCAATAGATGTAAACCTAGTGAACAATAGCTAAACACAAAGGTTATAAAATGGAGAGTGGGGTAAAAGAAGCAACTTGGAACTTCTCCACTTTCACTTGGAGGAGTGTGTGAGCCACTAATGGATAGTAACCTACAACCTAGGCTTTTATATATCAATTTGACCGAATCGACTGTCTTTTATATATTAATTAATGTTTGGGTTCAATTGTGATTATGGTCAACAAAAAGAAAAAGGAGAAAAGAAAAAACACTAAAGAGCATGAAACTCGATCCCGATACAAAACTCGTGGTAGCGGCTTTGGGTACAAGTTAGGATACCCTTGTATTTGGGTTCAATAGATGTAAATCTAGTGAACAATAGCTAAACATAAAGGTTATAAAATGTAGAGTGTGGTAAAAGAAGCGACTTGGAACTTCCCCACTTGCACTTGGAGGAGTGTGTGAGCAACTAATGAATAGTAACCCACAACCTAGACTTTTATATGTTAATTAATATTAATTAACACCCAAGGAAAAATATGAAAGAAAAAAAAACGAACCAGCTACGTACAGTGATAAAAATGAGGCGGATACTTCAATACTCATACTCATTTCGCACTAAATGTGATTCAAATAAATGTGATTCAAATGATAACAATGATATTGGACACGTTTAGATCCTTTTAATTTATGTGTCTATTTGACATTCAAATGACAAAAGACTCATATTTGAATCCTAGCGAGAGACTGCGAGCTTGCTAAGCTTTAGGGGAGATTTTTCATCAACAAACCTCAAGATT